TATTTGTTACACAAAATATTAGGGCAAAAAGAAAATAGAACGCTTAGAAATTTACAGTTCAAACAAATGAGTTTTGAAGCAAAAGCTATTTAAAGTTTTAATTTGGCGAGTGCAAAATTCAAAGTTGCTGGATCTGGGATGTAACATGCACTTTGTCAGCAAATTGATTTTTCGATGGTGCGAAGCATTTCTTTGGGGAAAAATAACGAAGAACGTATACGAGATTTTCACAAGTGTGGTGACTGATACAAAGGAAACAGTACTTCATCAAAGAAAATTTGAGAGTCGTGTGGTTTCAAAGTGAAAGACCATACACGTAGTTCAACAAAGCCAATTTATACATATCGACGGTGAAACTACCAAACCACGTATCTCGGTTTGCGACGTCGCAGACTTCCTGCCATACTTTAATTTTTAAATGGGAAAGTACTCAACGTCAATTCTTGAAAACTTCCGTGATTTTTCTTCTCAGTGCGAAGAAAATTCTGTAAAAACTTCAAGGAATGATATTGAATTGTTCTCCTCCAGAAAAATAAAATGAGAGCGGAGATTTTTAGACACCGCAAACGAGATACGTGGTTTGGTAGTTTCACCATCGATATGTCTGATCAAGCGAGAGAGAACTGAACATGTGAGAGTGGAGCATAGTAAGAAAAATCGTTTTCACATCCAAAAAGGCAAACGAATATATCTACACAAAAGTGCACGCAGCTTGGAAAAGTATTGTGAACGCAGATGTAGGTATGAATGAACACCGAATGATGCAGAAATGCAATTATGACAATAAGGCGGGTAGAAAAAATTGAAAAAGCGTTGATATGCGGTTAAGGAAGACCACAAAAGAGGGAAAAATCAACAGGGAGGATCCAAAAAATTAAATATAGACCTCCGTTAGGACCAGCAAGTGCATTTCAAAATGACGATTAGGGATGAGGGGAAAATACATATAAAAAGTAGAAAGTCACAAAAGTATGAATGAACGCACTCAAAAGTGGTGTCATTCCCCCCTGAGTACTTGATGAGCTCCCCCCTTAATTTATTACTGAACACCCCTCCCCCCTTCAAAACAGGCGCGCGGATTTTCAGAGGGGGGGGGGGGTTCTGGGTGGGCTTCCCCCGGAAAGTGTTGACCATTTTTTGCTCTCTAAAGGCAATTTGAGGTTATGATAAGCAGTTTTGTCTCCTTCTTCACTGCAGAAATTTGCTTGGTTTTCACGTGTAAATATGTATATCATTGTTTTTTAAAAAATTAAACGAAACTTTTTTTCAGAAAAAAACGGTAGGAGAAGAAATACGGAGGGGAGAATGAAGGATTGGCGAGGAAAGAAAAATAGGGGGGGTGAAGAAAGGGGGATGGAGGAAAATATTACCGAGGAAAAGCAGGTAACACTTTGGCGGATTTACGCTAACTACCCAGAAAAAAAGTCAACCCCCCCCCCTAAATTTCAAACTAGACAAGTTGCTCGTCTGCAAACATGGCTACTGAAACCAATAGCACTTACATAAAGGCAAAAAACAACTTTGCAGTACGGAATTGTTAAACTTTGAAAGCCAGACAACGAACGCAGCCCAAATTTGAAGTTTTAAAATGTCAGTTAGGCTGGTGAAATAAAAGAAAGACAGAAAGTTGTTCATGCGCATAAGGGAGGACTTGATCTAAGAGAAAAAAACAACGGAACAATGCAGAATCATTGAATTTTGGAATTGAGATCAGGAATCCGGCTAAAGCCTCAAGTTTAAAAATGTCAGTTTGTCAAATGATAGTAAGAAACGAACTAAGTCGTAGTCGTACTAGCCGTCGTAGTCTAGGTTAGAGATCTAAAATAACAATCGAAGTCAAAAAAATTGGCTAGCTATTTAAGCGTCACAGGGCGCACTTAAATCAGAAAGGAAAACCAACGGTACGGCGCGGAATTGTTGTAATTTGGAAGAGACAACGAATGAGGCCAAAGTTGGAAGTCTTAAGCTGTCAGCGATGGAGGTAAGGAAAATTAGGAAGCTATGAAAGCGTTGAAGAGCACCGGAATCAGGAGGGAAAAACAAGGGTGCGGTGCGGAATTGTTGAACTTTGAAGGCGGCCGAAGTTCGAAGTGGGAAGTTTCACGATGGATGGCGACCGGAGCCCAGCGAGGAAGAGGCTGTAATCTGAAAGTTCTTACCTGGCTCTGGCGTGGCGATGCGCTAGCCTTGACCGCTCCCGCAGAGTTCACCACACACGAGTGTCCGCGTCGCGGCGCCTGCGCAGAACCCGCTCGCCGACGGGATCCATTGACGAAACCCCGGCCACGCGCAGGTCTACTTCCTCCTTCGCTCCAGCCTTCCTCCCCCTCCCCCTCCCCCTCCCCCAGCGT